ACTCCCGCCCAACTTGGCATTGTCTGCAAGATGCGGGCATTGCTGGCAGAAGCCCCCATGGTGGATGGAGGGCAATCAGTGCCTACCCTGCTTTGCCATGGAGAATGGAAAAGCTGATGAACAAGGACAGGGGCAGGAGGAGTTGCAGGAGAAAAGAGAGAGACCAACCCCATGGAGTAGGACCAGCCCAGCCTGGCATCAGATGTGGGGTGGGGGCACGTGGAAAGGGAGACCAAAGGGGAAAGTAGCTCAAGGGGGTGTGATCGTTCCTGGAGATTTTCACCCCAGCACTGCCCTCTCTTCTCCCCCCATCCCACATGTCCTGGTCCAGGATCAAGCAATGCACCGTGGTGAACATGGACGACCTAATCACGGTGCACCATGAGATGGGCCACGTCCAGTACTTCCTGCAGTACATGGACCAGCCCATCTCATTCCGTGATGGGGCCAATCCTGGCTTCCACGAGGCTGTCGGCGATGTCATGGCCTTGTCCGTCTCCACCCCCAAACACCTGCACAGCATCAATCTGCTGGACCAAGTCACGGACAACAAAGGTGAGCTGGCAGGGGAGCACCACACAGCAAAGATGGGGGGGCTGCTGGGGACAGCTGGAAATGCAGCGGGTCAGGGTGGAAGGGGTCAGGGACATGCACGGTGGCTTTGCATGCATGGAGGGGACAGGAACTGGTGGGGACACCCTGCTCTTGGGCAGAATGACCTATTTGGGGTGAGAGGTGGGTGCAGTACTGCCTTGCTCACACCTTCACACCCTGGGCAGAAAGTGACATTAACTACCTGATGAGCATCGCCCTGGACAAAATCGCCTTCCTGCCCTTTGGATACCTCATGGACCAGTGGCGTTGGAAGGTGTTTGATGGGCGGATCAAGGAGGATGAGTACAACCAGCAGTGGTGGAATCTCAGGTACGCTTGAATTCAGACCCCTGTTTGGTGCAAGGGCCTTGGCCATTGTCCCACTGAACGTTTTCTCCTGTGGCCCAGTTGGCTGCAAGGGGACACGATGGGATACATAACCCCTCACCCTGTCCTCACACCCAGCTGCGTCCCCTCCCAGTTTATCCCACCTTCTCCTCCCCATGCTGGGCTAACTCTCCCTCTCTGGCCCAGGATGAAGTACCAGGGACTGTGCCCACCAGCGCCAAGATCTGAAGACGACTTTGACCCCGGGGCAAAGTTTCACATCCCTGCCAACGTCCCCTACATCAGGTGAGTAAGCAGGGCTGGGGCAGGAGGGACACCACTTGGACACAGAACCAGGATCTTCAGTTCAGATGCCAGTGATGGCACCTTGTTTCATGGCTGGTGGGATACTTGGTGGTACCACCCTGAGGGTGCTGGGCAGCTCTGGGGACCCCGACAGAGCCTCGGAGAGGAAGGCTGGATTTGGGGGAATTTCTCCCTATCTGAAGAGGATGGGCTCATCCACCCATGCAGCCATAAAACACATGTTAAAGGAGAAATGGCGTCAGCAGATCGGACTGAGTTGTGGGTGGAGCTCCAAAGCCAGTGATGCTCCTTCGGACTGGGAGGGTGCAACCAGGGGATGAGGGGGACCACATCCTCCCTTGCAAAGCCTCTAGTAGGGTTCAATCCCATGTCCTCACCCCTGTCCGTGTCCCCAGGTACTTCGTCAGCTTCGTGATCCAGTTCCAGTTCCACCAGGCGCTCTGTGCGGCAGCCGGGCACAGGGGTCCCCTGCACACGTGTGACATCTACCAGTCCAAGGAAGCTGGGAGGATCTTGGGGTAGGTGTGTGGGCAGGGCAGAGCCAAGACATTTATGTCCCCAAATGCCTTAAAGCCAGCCCAGCAAGCCAGGAGGCAACACAGCCCCTGGTCATCCATCCCCTCCCTGCCCCAGCATGGGATGCTCTGGTCCCTGGCCCTGGGGTGCGGACAGAGGGGACCCCGGCCAGGGGCACCTTGGGCTGGGTGCTGGGGCTGTGATTGCAAAAGCAGCCACTAGATGGTAGCTGGGACCCTGGCAAGTGGAAGGCTCCCTTCCTCCTCCTCCTCCTCCTCCACAGCCCCTGTTCCTTAGGGAAAACAACCCTCTTGCTTCAAGAAAAGCACCTGCAAAATTAACCCTTTCACCCAAGAACTGCTCTGCATCAGGCTGGATTCACTGAGGGGCTTTAATCCATGTAGACCCCCCCTTCCCCCGAGCAAAACCTCCTTCCCTGTGCTCTGGGCTGGCAGCCCTGCGGTGCTGGGGGCACAGACTGTACCCAGGGTTGCTGATACCAAGACCCCCAAGCCCTGGGGAAAAAGGGAAGGGCTCATGGCCAAGAGGGCGATGGGGAACCCACTGGAACTAATTGCTTCTGCCACAGGGAAGCCCTGAAGCTGGGTTTCAGCAAGCCGTGGCCCGAAGCCATGGAACTCATCACAGGGCAGCCCAACATGTCAGCTGATGCCCTGGTGAGTTACTTCGAGCCGCTCATGACATGGCTGGTGAAGGAGAATGAGAAGAACAGGGAGGTCCTGGGCTGGCCCGAATACAGCTGGACTCCTTACACAGGTATGCAGGGCTCAGCCAAGCACAGAAAACCCACGATGGGGCAGAGCTCAGCCCTCACCAGGGCCAGGATGGGGCACGTGGGAGAGATGGAACTCTCTTGATGCCTCTTGGCCACCCCAAAAACCGCAGCTTCTCCTTGATTTCCCATGGAGCTGAGACTAAAGGGGACACAGCACCCAAAAGACCAGCCAAGGGAGAGCTGGTGACCCAACACATCCCAGCCCAGAGCCACAGGTACCAACCATGTCCCTTATTTCTCCATTTTCCAGCCACTCCAGCCCAAGCTGGCTCCAGCCGAACCGATTTCCTGGGCATGTCCCTGACCAGCAATCAAGCCACAGTGGGCGGCTGGGTCCTGCTTGCCCTGGCACTCGTCTTCCTGATCACCACCATCTTCCTGGGCGTCAAGTTCTTCTCAGACAGGAGAAAGGCCTCCAAATCCAGCTCAGAAATGGAACTGAAATAAGGCAGCCATCGGGGGGGAGCATGGACAGGGTGCAAGCACGGGCATTTGGGCAGGCTGACAGCGATGCCATGGGCACATTTGCCAGCAAAGCCATGGGTTTCCACAGCCCAGGACTCCTCTCTCCAATCAGGTCAGACCTTTTTTTCCACTATGCAAGAGCCAAAGCAGAAAAGAGCTATTTATTTGTCAACGTCTGCATCAGGGGAAGAGAAATTCAGGCACCAGCGGGTACGGAGCCATCACGGGCTGCCCCTGCGCCCAGGGCTGGGAGCCGGTCCAACCTGGGCACCCACCAGCCATCTCCGACCTGTGGGCAAAGCCACAGGGACTTCAAGTGACAGAGGGCAGTTTGGGGAGGGATGGAGCCACTGCCGGGCTGTTCGCTTGCATGGATGAAAAATAAACCCATGTCTTGTCACCCCCAGAGCAGCAGCTCGGCTCCTTCCTGCGGGTGGGCTCTGATCTCCGTGGGACAGGGCTCTCAAGCAGGACGAGCTGCCACCCCGAGCCAGTGCAACTACAAACCCCTGGGGATCAGCCTGGCTTTGGGACAACACACCTGCAGCACCCAACCTCCCCCGTCCCCATCGTGAAAGCTCAGCATCCCCTTCCAGCATCCTCATCCTCCCCTGAACCGTGGCTCCCCTCGCAGCTGACAGCTCGTGGGTTCACCATGGAGCACGTGCCTAAGGAAGGGGCTGAATCGGGGCCAGAAATCCCCAAAATCCAGGCTTGGACAGTTCAAAGGGTTGGAGGGTCACCAAGCCCAAGCTGGGACAGGACTGGAGCTCGCGGCTGCTGTGGTTCCAGCACGGGAATGACCCGCGTTTACGTAAGGGGGGTGGGGAGGGCTCAGAGGTCAGCGATCGCCTCCCATCCTCCGGCTCCTGATTATCTTGGGATCAGCCGTGCTTGAGGCTTTTTTCCCCCCCGCCCCATCTTTCTTCTGCTTCTGTAAATAAAACTTCATATTTGTTCTGCAGTGATTAGGTGCAAAACTAATCCCAGACCGGGGATTATTGCAGCCTTAAAGAGCCGCGATCTGCTGCAGCCCAGAGCAGTAGGGGAAATGAGGGGATCTGGGATGATCCACCTTTCCCCCTCCCATCTGATGGCCTCTGCCCTCGGTCATGCCTTACATGGGGAAACTGAGGCCCGGGAGAGGCTCACTGCGCCCGGGAGGGGAGCAGAAGGCAGGTGTCTGCCCGCCCACGCTTGGGTTTTTGTTTGCTTTCAATCCTCCTCCGAGCACAGCACGCCCACGGGGAGGCGAAACCCCGACTTCTCGTCTTTCTGCTGCGATCCCCAGACCCAGAGAGCAGCCGCCCCGACGCCTGCGCTCACCCCATGTTCTTCCCATGGCCGTATCCTGATGCGTCTGCTTTATTTCCCGGCACACCGGGCACCCTCCTCTCCCCCCTTCCCGGCAGCGCGATGCTCGCGGAGCAGAGACCTGGCACGGTGAGAGCTGGGTTTGAAGCCAAGTGTATTTTCAGCCTGGGAAAGCAGGCTGGTGCAGGTGTGCTCCATCCAGCTCAGCTCCTCACCGGTAATTTTGAGCTCCCTGGCTCCTTTCTGTCCCATTAGTGGAGGAAAAGAGCTCTCCGAGATCATAAAGATCCTACAAGATTCATGAAAATTGTTTTCTGGAGGAAAGTGGAAAAAAAAAAAAAAAAAAAAAGCCACACCGCACACTCTCACGCAGGGACTGCAACACAAGCTCAGCCCTAATTAGACATCAGAGAATCCACACAGGAGCTGACTCTGTCCTGGAATGGCCACTGCTACAAGGGTGGGTGATGGGTGCACTGAGCCGTGGCCTCCTGCTCAGAGATAGGTGGACAACCCAAGCCCACAGCCCATCCAGGAGACACCAGGTTACCTTCAGCCCAGGTCCAAGGTTCCACCCGGGAGATGGGGCTGGATCCAGGGTTATGCCCAGCCCAGCTCAGGGGGAGGCTGAAGCTCCCACCTTGATCTTAAATAGAGCTGCTGGGCGGTGGGTAGGGGGGCCCAGGTGAAGCTTTTCAGGGCGATGAAGGCTTGCTGGTGCCCCGAGGGCTCTGCCAAGCCGGCAGCAATGTTTTACAAGATACCTTTAAAACGAGGATGTTTTCCTTTCCCTGTTGCTGTAACACCTGGAGAGATTTTGCTGCCTTCTGGCTCCTGCATCATGCTTTCTGCTGAAATTAGGAGGCTTAGCGAAATTACTCCCTAAGGAGGAAAAGAAAAGGAAAAAAAAAAAAAGGAAAAGAGCAGAAAAAAGAGGAGATTCCCCCTCAATTCATGTAACTCCTCAAAGGGGAGCTCAGAAAGCTGCAGGTACCCCAGGCTTGCCCGAGGCTCCCAGAGAGGAAGTTTGCTTTAAAATCCCATTAATTCAAAGCAAGAAACACCCTGGGTTCCCTTTGCTGGCTCGGGGACCCTTTGGGCACCGCAGAAACCCATTTTCCATTTTTTTTTTATGTTCATTATCCGCTGAGGGAAGGTGGCTGGTGGGGGGTTCCCCCA